TAGTAGTAGTCGTAGTAGTAGTCGTAGTAGTAGTAGTAGTAGTAGTCGTAGTAGTAGTAGTAGTAGTAGTAGTAGTAGTAGTAGTAGTCCAGTAGTAGTAGTAGTAGTAGTAGTAGGAGTAATAGGAGTAGTAGGAGTAGTAGTAGTGGTAGTAGTAGTAGTCGTAGTAGTAGGAGAAGTCGTATTATTACTAATCTTAGTGCAACAGGTCGCAGATTTAGACATAGGGGTAGTCGTAGTAGTAGGCGCAGTGTTTCGGTGGATAAGTGCGACGGTCAGGCCGTGATGCGGCGAGGACACATATTGCGTTCAGCAGAAGGAGAGTGGCGAGAGGAGTGAAGAACATTGGTTACGATCAGCCAGACCATCCCTTTGATCGATGAAAGCGATGACGTCTTGGACGATCCACCAAGCACAATACTATTCGGCGGCGGCGATACGAATCACAGTGGATTAGCATGACCTAAGGCTTGCAAGGCGAAGACATTGAGAGTCTGCTATGCGAGGGGTCTGCCTCCTGGTGCTTCGCCCAAGGCGGTTGAGGAGTTCTTCAAGAGGACACGCACCACGCTTTTCGAGTTTGACAAGGCCGCGGGTCTCCGCATTTTCATTTTAGGGTATGCTGACTGTGTCTCTCCCCCTCCCGCCTTTTCACGTGACAGTGTCTTCCAGTCCTGGAACGACTGCCCAACAACGCTACATATGCATAATATTTTGGAGGAGACAGAATCACTTACACAGCATGATTCAGGAGTAGGGAGGGTATTCAATTTCAGTGTGCGGCATATTCGGGGGACCATTCGGGAGAACGCCTTCGACGGTGTTTTACATACTGGAGACCATACACGTACGGGGGACCACACGGGAGACCATACGGGAGACCATACTGGAAACCAGATTGCAGATCTACCGGAGACCATGCAGGGAACCATGACAAGGGATCGTACGGGAGACCGTACATGCCTTCGTGGCCCCTCTAGACAAGCATACGGGAGACCATATTGGTGACTATGCGGGAGACCATTCGGGATACAATGCGGGAGACCATACAGGCAAGCAGATTGGAGACCATACGGGAGGCCATGCAGGAGACCACAGGGGAGACCGTACTGGAGATCATGCGGGAGACCATGCGGGAGACGCCATATAAGGAACCAGAGCAGGGGCCACGAGCCACCAGTTCCGGACCTGGAAGACCTCGCACGTACTTTCAACAAGAACAGGAGGACGGTGGGTCATACAGTGGGGCGACGTGTGCCCTCCTCTAACGTCGAGTTTTGTTCTCCTCTGCCTCTCCCTCTCTCGTCTTGGTCTTCTTCTGGATTCAGTCGGGCAATCGGTCGGCCGTAAGTGCACATCAGCCCGATAGAAAACGAACGGTCCCCAGACGAGACCGTATGAGCCGCACAATCTGGAGTGTACGCCTCGCTGGGCGGTTCCCCCCCCCCCCCCCACAATAGCTCATACTTCGATCATATTTGGGACCTTGGGGGGACTGGTTGGGGCAATTTTCTGAGCTGCCTCGAGACCTTTCGCTGCTCTCGGCGTGGAGCGGGAGAAGAAGGAAACCGGGAGAAACTGGGGAGGAGGAGAAGGAGGATGAGAAGGGGGAGGAGGAGGAGGAGGAGGAGGTGGAGGAGGAGGAGGAGGAGCAGGAGGATGAGGAGGAGCAAGAGGAAGAGGAGGAGAAGCAGGAGGAAGAGGAGGAGGAGGAGGACCAGAGTAAACCAACCATTCACCAGCGATGGCGCAGCGATGGCCCAGCACACTCTCCCGTCCCAAGTCCCCTCTTCATACGCCCCCACACATCACAAGTTCCCCCTTTGCACTGCAAGACGTGCCCCCCCGTGCATCCTTCTGGTGCGCAATCAGAAGCTCTACAAAACTATGACCAGACGATTCAACACGAGGTGCCCAGCGATATCCCCCTTTCCACGAAGGGGCGCCCGCCCCGTCCGTGGCATTGTTTGACAAAGTCACGCTCATGGTCGCGGACTCGGAGGAAGCCTCAAGCCGGGTCGACTCCTTGCAGAGATAACCGCCCGGGAGCCGTGCAGCGCTGCAAGCGCTGAAGCGTCAGGCCGCTACGGGCAACGAAGTCTCCAAGGAGAGGCCCAATCTGAAAAAGAGCAGGCCTCCCTTCTCCGAAGCGGTGAGTTGGAGCGAATGCGCGCGGAGCTGAAGCGAGAGCCCCATCTTGAAAACTACCAGTGCTCAGTCCTTGAAGCGGCTGCACGATCTAGAGACGACTGCGCGCGGCGCTAAGGGGAGAGCTCCTCTACGAGAACGATCTGCCCTCAATCCGTGACGCGATTGCAACATCTCATAGCGAAGGTGCGCAGCGCCAAGGCGAGAACGCCAATTTGGAAGCGCCCCCCCTTCTTCCATCCCTGAAGCTGATGCAAACTTGCAAGACGAGCGTGCGCGTCGCTACGGCGAGGGCCACACTATGCAAGCGACCCCCCTCAATCCCGAAGCCGCTTTGCAGATGGTAAAGGCGAGCGTGCGCGGCGCAAAGGCGAACACAAAACATTTTGAAAAAGGGGCAGTCACCCTTCGCGCCGCCACCCATTCTCCTCCTCCTCCTCCTCCTCCTCTCCTTGCTCCTCCTCCTCCTCCTCCTCCTCCTCCTCCTCACCTTTCCACTGGTGCAGCCTTTCAAGACGATTCTGCGCGGCGCTGCGGCGATAGCCACGTTTTGCAACCGGCCGCCCGTTCCTTGAAACGGTTGACAAGTATAGACGCTTCGCGTGCAGCCAGACCGAGGTGTGAGATCGAGGCCGGTTCGGGGAGGGTGCCCTAATGTTCTTCGTGTTTGTTGGATGTTCTTGTGCATCCTGGGTAGGGTACCCTTGGTTGCTCTGCTTGTTTTGGCCGACGGAGGGTTTCATGTTCTCAAAGGATGTTCTTCTGGTCTAGGTCCGACTGTATCCCCACGTGCTCATCCAGATACGATGCCCGTGCGAGTTGAAGCGGCGACAACGACGAGTCAACCATGCAGCCTTTGCGGAGACCTCGCTCCGCGAGCTTCCGAGAAGCCTCTCGGAGGCCTCTTTCAAGATATCGTGGAGCCACCTTGGTGCCATTTTGGAAGCCTCGTGGGCCCTCTTGGGGTCCTGTAGGGCTTTTGTTTGGGGGGGGGGTGTCTTTGCTGTCATTTCACTCGGAGGCCGAAGCAGGGGGTCTCGGGGCCCTCTTGGGGCGCCCTTGGGGCCTTCTTGGGCGATCTTGGGGCCGTGCTGCGGGCCTCTTTGGCCCCTCTTGGAGCGCTCCTGGGCCATGTCGGGGCCATCTTGAGGCCTTGTAAGCCCATCGGAAGCGGAAAGACGAGACTGCAAGCACCTTCATTTTCCGCAGGGTTTGGACTGATGTTGGCGTCTTGCGTGGTGCATTGGAAGACCCGAGGAGCACTTGGAGCCGCCTAGGGGCGGTCTTGGAGCCTGTTCGAGCATCTTGGTCACCATATTGGGCTACATTGAACCATCTTGGTGACCACCTCGCGCTCTCTGAGGCCTTCTTAGCGCTATCTTGAGCCATCTTGAACGCTCCAATGGGTCTGCCCCCCTGTCCCCCCCGTCCAGACCCGGGAGGGGGGAGGGCAAGCCCATCCCCGATCAGGGGAAGGATGGGGTCGTGGGAAAGGGCAGAGACGAACTCGTTTTTCCACCTCCGCCTAGACGGCTAGTGGGAGTTTTAGGATGACTGTGCGCAGCGCTAAGGCGAGAGCTACATTTTGAAACGAGCCACCTCCACCCTCAAGCTGCTGCAGATTCTGAAGACGAAGTGTGCACGGCACCAATGCGAGCGCAACATTTTGAAAAGTGCCCCCCTCCGTCTTTGAAAACTGTTGCACATTCTATCCTTCATGGTCATAAATGGTGAGGTAGTCTTAGACCGAACGTCTGGCCCACCCAACCGACACATCTGGGGGTGCGACCGGGAGAATTTTTTTTAAAAGGAAAAGAGATTGACAAGCCCTGGTGACTGGGAATCTCGTTTGACCCGTTCTTCCCCGAGTCGAAGGCTTTTTGGCTCTGGAGTTTAGCCTCGAGTGCATCCGAGGCTAGGCGACTATTGCTGAGCTTCTTGGTGTTTATCCTTTTGTCGTGACCAGCTTTTCCCATTGGGTGCATGCAGTATTCTTGAACTGGAGACCGTGATGTGCATTGCTATCATTTCTGTCACAGCAGCTGTGCGAGTACCATTCGTATTACAGTTCTCACCGTCAACATTGCGCTGGAGGAACTGATTGCTCTAGATCTCGATACTTCCATCTTTGGGGGAGGTGCGACTCTTCGACACTTCAGTATCTCGATTCTGGCGAGTGGTGCTCGACATGTTTCGCATAGGGAGGAGAGCGGGCCCGACAGACCGGGGGACGCGGCCAGACACGCGTTCCGTCTGCTCCTGGGGCTGCTCGGGAGGCTCTTGGGGGTCCCTCCCAGACCTCTTGGGGCGTCCTGGGGCCCTCTTGGGCCCTACACGGGGGCGGCCAAGAGGGGGATGATGACAAGGGGGGGTGGATATCATGGCGGGGGCCTTGAGATCTTCAGATGTTGCATGGTCCCTCTTCTTACTTCAATGGGTTCCCTGGCCCCCCCTGGTCCGCGCACATGCCTCGGGCCATGATTTGCACCCCATCTCTTGGACACCCCCCTCTTGGACGCCCCCGATCTTGGGCCCTGCCTTTGGGGGTCTCTTAGGGCTGCCTGGGGGCCGTCAATGGGGCTCCGCTTCGGCCCTCTTTGGGCGTCTCGGGCTCCTCTGCGGCCCTCTGGAGCCCCTTTTTGGCTCTCCTGGGGTTGTGTTGGACTGACTGGGCCGTCTTGGATTGTGTGAGGATCCGATGTCAGCCAGCGTGGACGCCAGACATGAAGTTGTTGCAGTTGTGTCCGCTATGCGGTTAAATCTACGTGTTGCAAGCTATGTCATGCAAGCTATGCGGTGCAAGCAGTGTGGGTAAGCTCTGCGCGGCGCGGTGGGCGGCAACGAGGCGGCAAACGGCGGCGACGCGGCGCAATCTCGACGGACCCCCTCAAGTGGGCGGCAGCGAGACGGCAACGGGCAGCGACGCGGCGAAACTTCGACGGACCCCCCAAGTGGGCGGCAGCGAGGCCGCAGCGAGTTGGCAACGGGCAGCGACGTGGCGAAACCTCGACGGACCTCCCAAGGGGCGGCAACGAGGCGTTAAGTGGCGGCGACGCGGCGCAACCTCGACAGACCCCGTAAGTGAGTGGCAGCGAGGCCGCAGCGTGCGGCGAGGCGGCGAAACCTCGACGGACCCGCGGCAACCAGGCGGTAACTGGCGGCGGCGCGGCGAAACCTCGACGGACCCATACACTTTCTTAGAATCGCAAGTCAAGATCCCTGATTGCAAGTTTGCTTTTAGGAAAAGGTGAGAGTGCCTAAACCGTACAACAAATTCAGACTTTCCACTCATGTTGGCGTCTTGGTGGCCTCTTCCTCTCGAGGCCCTCTTAGAGCGTTTTGAGCCGTCGTGCAGGCACCTTGGGCACCCTTTGGACCCTAGGAGCCATCCTAGGGTCTTGGGGGGCCGTCTTGGGGTCTCCTTGGGCTGTTCTGGAGCCATCTTGGGCAGTCTCGGTGCTCTACTAAGCCGTTTGGCAAAGATGACCTGTTTCGGTTGGCGTGGCCTCAGCGGGCTGGTAAGGGCGGAATCTTGCGAAGGCCTTACGGCCGGTGCCGCCGACACTGAAGACGACGGCGCTGACCACGACGAGGTAGAAGGAGACGGAGGATAATGATGAGGAGGAGGAGGAGGAGGAGGAGCCGCATGAGGAGGAGGCGGAAGACGACGCCGAGAAGGTGGAGGAGGTGAAGAAAGAGGAGGGGGAGCAGGAGGAGCAGGAGAAGGGTTGCCTCTTGGGGTTCTCTCAGGAGTGCCTTTGGAGGCAAGGGTGGAGTATTTCGTATCCAGGGGGGGGGAAGCCAACCCGACCCCCGTACATGATGTTTGCTTAGTGGCCCCGGGCGTTTTCTTGAGCAGGCCTGCCCTGCTCGATCCGCGAGCCCTCCCCTGGGTGCGTTTCCTGAACGACTTCGTTTTTTGTCCGGGTGCTTCTTTTTGCGAGTTCTTGTCTGGTCTGCCTTCTGTCACAGTGCTGCGTTATCCCCTCTGCGTGGGAGATGAAGACGCAACGTGCAGTTGTCCTGGAGTCGCTCCGCCTGGCTTCGGGCGCAGTCTGAGTGCTCCGGTGTGAGGAGGAGGATGAAAAGGAGGGGGATGGGGGGAGGGGGGGATGGACGATGAAGGCGTGGGTAGGCGAAGGAGGAGGAGGAGGGGGATGATGATGATGATGATGATGATGATGATGATGATGATGATGATGATGATGATGATGATGATGATGATGATGATGACGATGATGATGATGACGATGATGATGATGATGATGATGATGATGATGATGATGATGATGATGATGCTGATGATGCTGAATGATGCTGATGATGCTGATGCTGATGATGCTGATGATGGTGGTGGTGTTGATGATGATGATGATGACGATGCTGATGATGATGCTGATGATGCTGATGATGATGCTGATGATGCTGATGATGATGCTGATGATGATGATACTGCTGCTGCTGATGATGATGAGGAGGAGGAGGATGAGGAGGAGGATCAGGATGAAGAGAACCTTTTTTTCTGTTGCTCCCCGTGGGCGTCCCGCGAAGGTCTCGGCGTAAATGGGGTCCCCCAGAGGGTCCGTGATGCATTTGCGCTTCCCTGTCGGCAAGTCTTTTGCGGTGTGCGCTGTGAGTGTGCTCCAGGTGATCTCCAAGCAACGTGAGCTGACCTACCAGGTCCGCCGCAACTTCCTCGCGGCCGACGACGCGAAGGCACACGCACGTGTGATGGAGAAGGGAGGGGGGCAGAACGGATGGGTTCATTGCATGTCGTCCAAGTCAAGTATAGGACGCGGTGTGGGCTAGGGGATGCAAGAGGTGGTATCCCCTCCTTCAATGTCCCGTTCCATCCGCATCCTGTCTTCCCCCCGTTCCTTTCCTCTCCTCCACGTCTCGAGGCTGATTCCGATTCTTGTTGGCGAGGGGGGGGATGGGGAAGAGGGGGGAGAAAGAAAGTGGGTTCTGAGGAGATATGAATCGGAGCTATACTTAGGGAACAACATGAGGCGGCGGACGAGGAGAAGGAGGAGGAGGAGGAGGAGGAGCCAGGAGGGACGAAGTACCAGGGAAGGGTGATGATGGAGGGAGCATGCGGAGTAGCAGGGGCACGTGAAGCAGGAGGAGGCCCGTTCCTGCCCCCAGTGGCCTCCAACGCCCCTCGCTTCGCGAGGTCAGGGAGCTGATTGAGGAGTGGGGCAATGACTCCGTCATGATCCACATGGCCAAGGCTGCGGGGATGTCCCACGAGGAGAAGGCCACCGAGTTCAAGGACTGCGAACCCCGCCCCTGCATGAGCTCGGTCCGAGGAGGAGCGCGGGGAGGACGACGAGGATTCCGATGAGAATCCGGAGGGGGATGACTACGGCCCTCCTCGAAGTCAGACGCAGGTTTTTGATGCTGATCGACGCGCGACACGCGGCCCGCAAGGTCAGACTTCTCTGTGTTTACCGTCGCCAGTTCTGGCGCGACCATCGAACGTTTGGGGTCTTGGGCGCCGCCCAGTCGCGGCAAAAGCAGGCGTTTGATTTCGACGAGGGATGCAGGATTGTCGTGGCCTGCCCCTGGAGGTGCAGGGCCAAATAACGTAAACGAAGTGTGATGGCCGGCCTCACACAGGTGAGGTCACCTTGGCATCGCTCGGACGTGTGCATGCTCCTCGGCGGGGACCATCGAGGAGCATCCTGGGCCATCTTGCGAAACATGAACGCACGAAGGCGACACATGCACGGGGAATGGACGTCCGAGCGATGGCAAGTCGCTTGGCCGTGATTTGAGGCCAGCTCGCCCCCGGGGCACTCTCTGACTGGCAGGGGTACCTATATACGGGGGACCTGCTGTGGCATGATTCTTGTCAGGATCGGGCTGCGTAAGCCTGGCATGCCGAGACTTGGTGGTACGGAGGCCAGGTTTGTTGTGACGGAGCCGATTGAGTTTGCCAGCGTTGGTGTATGAACGGGGTCCGCACATTTTGCAAGCTAGTATGCACACGTGCACGCATGGCTGCATGTCCGAGCCCATGCAGCGCAGAACACGGGGACGTACGCAGCTCGAAAATCTGAATGCTTCGCGCGTCCCCACGAGCCCAGCCAGGAACGATGCCTAGGGGATCTGCCTTTATCGGGGGAGCATGCCATTATTTGGATACTTCGGGGAGCCTCAGTGAACTAGATGCCCCTTGGATGCCTCTCGGATTCGCTTGGGATATCTCCTGGGGGGATCTTGGTGGGCCTCTTAGAACGTCCTTGGGGGCCGCTTGAGGGGTCTTGGGGGCCTCTTGAGGCCTCTTGGGGGGTTTCTCTGGGGTATTCTCGGAGGCCTTCTTAGGACCATCTTGGAGGACATCGGTTACAGGAGAGGGTCTTCCATGATGGTTTCCCTATAAGCCCCATGACATCATCTCTTGGGGCTATCTTTCGAATCGGGGATCGACTACATAATTGATTTACTCCACAATTGATTTTCCCGCCGAATATACAAGAGTTGTGAAGAATGTCCGTTGATCTAGAGGACATTCTGCGCAGTTTTTTCGTGGATTCGGCGGGCAAATGAATTTTGGGGTACATCAAGTTTGTAGTCGATCCCCTATTCGAATCTTGGAGCTGTCGTGGATTGATATTCTGGTGATGTTGAACGAATTTTGACCTCTTGGGGGCGTCCAGGGGGGCCCCCAGTGCCATTTGGCTTGGGACCTCTTGGAGTATATTGGAAGCCGTCTCGAGCGATCTTGCGCTATCTTAGTCCATCCTGGAGGCCATCTGGAGTCATCCGGGGCACTCTTGGAGCCATCTTTGGCGGTCTTGGTTCCTTTGGCCGATCGGAGGGAGAGGGGTCAAGCTACGTACAGACAGGCAACAAGCCGTCTCGCTCATTCCCACCCGCCCTTCCAATTCACAAGTAGCACCCGAGTCTCAGCATCGACAGGGGCCGCTATCGACAGCGATCGCGAACCAATTCAGACGCCAGCCAGTTGCGCGAAGCCAGCGAGGTGTGCCGCACATGCCATCTGCGCCACGCGCACCAAGGGCGCCACATTGGGCAATTTGACGACCCTCCCACTGTCGAAAACCCATGCACAGTGATGGCGGGTTTGTTGTGTGCGGATGTGCCCACGATTGTTTTGAGTGTTTTGAGCTTGTTTTTTGACAGGGATGGTGGGCCTTCGCGCATCAGGCAGTATGCTCCTCCCGCCGTCCTCGGCAAAATGCGTTTGTTGGTTTGTTCCCCAGACCTCCTTTGGTTGGGTTCTCGTTTCGAGTAAAGCAGTTTGGGCCCCGCCTCCCTCCCTCCTCCCCACCTCCCCTTCGTCCACTCCCCGCCCCCCCTCTCTCTCCTGTTTAGTCGTCCTCCCCCTCGTCGAGACCTTGCAGGCCTTGCGGGGCTGCGAACCGCGCAAATGTCTCCGCTTTCGTAGGCTCCTGGGAGGTCCAGCGGAGTGGAGGTCCGCGCAGATCTGCCGAGACCTCGCGGGCCCTGCGGGGTTGCGAACCGCGCAACTGCCGCCTTTTTCGTGGGCTCCTGGGAGGTACAGCGGAGTGGAGGTCCACGCAGATCTGCCGAGACCCCGCGGGCCCTGCGGAGTTGTGAACCGCGCAACTGCCGATATGTTCGTGGGCTTCTGGGTGGTCAGCGGAGTGGAGGTCCACGCAGATCTGCCGAGACCTCGCGGCCTCCGCGGGGTTGCGAACTGCGCAATTGCCGTCCATTTTCGTGGGAGTGAAGGTCCACGCAGATCTGCGGAGACCTCGCGGCTCCCTGCGGGGTTGCGAACAGCGCAACTGCCGCCTTGTTCGTGGGCTCCTGGGAGGTCCAGCGGAGTGGAGGTCCACGCAGCTTTGCCGAGACCTTGCGGCCCCCTGCGCGGTTAAGAGCCGCGCAATTGTCGCTATTTTCGTAGGCTCCTGGGAGGTCCAACGGGGTGGAGGTCCACGGAGATCTGCCGAGACCTCGCGGCCTCCGCGGGGTTGCGAACTGCGCAATTGCCGTCCATTTTTGTAGGCTCCTGGGAGGTCAGCGGGGTGGAGGTCTACGCAGATCTGCGGAGACCTCGCGGCTCCCTGCGGGGTTGCGAACAGCGCAACTGTCGCCTTGTTCGTGGGCTCCTGGGAGGTCCAGCGGAGTGGAGGTCCACGCAGACTTAGCTGAGACCCCGCGGCTCCCTGCGGAGTTGTGAACCGCGCAACTGCCGATATTTTCGTGGGCTCCTCGGAGGTCCAGCGGAGTTGAGGTCCACGCAGCTCTGCCGAGACCTTGCAGCCCCCTGCGCGGTTAAGAGCCGCGCAATTGTCGCTATTTTCGTGGGCTCTTGGGAGGTCCAACGGGGTGGAGGTCCACGGAGATCTGCCGAGACCTCGCGGCCTCCGCGGGGTTGCGAACTGCGCAATTGCCGTCCATTATTGTAGGCTCCTGGGAGGTCAGCGGTGTGGAGGTCTACGCAGATCTGCGGAGAACTCGCGGCTCCCTGCGGGGTTGCGAACAGCGCAACTGCCGCCTTTTTCGTGGGCTCCTGGGAGGTCCAGCGGAGTGGAGGTCCACGCAGACTTAGCTGAGACCCCGCGGCTCCCTGCGGAGTTGTGAACCGCGCAACTGCCGATATTTTCGTGGGCTCGGAGGTCCAGCGGAGTTGAGGTCCACGCAGCTCTGCCGAGACCTTGCGGCCCCCTGCGCGGTTAAGAGCTGCGCAATTGTCGCTATTTTCGTGGGCTCCTGGGAGGTCCAGCGGAGTTGAGGTCCACGCAGACCTGCCGAGACCTCGCGGCCTCCGCGGGGTTGCGAACTGCGCAATTGTCGTCCATTTTTTGTAGGGTCCACGCAGATCAGCGGAGTGGAGGTCTACGCAGATCTGCGGAGACCTCGCAGCTCCCTGTAGGGTTGCGAGCCGCGCAACTGTCGCCCATTTTCGTAGGCTCCCGGGAGGTCAGTGGAGTTGAGGTCCACGCAGACCCAGCTGAGACCCCGCGGCTCCCTGCTGCGGGGCTGCGAGCCGCGCAACTGTCGTCAATTTCGTGGGCTCTTTGGAGGTCCAGCAGAGTGGAGGTCCACGCGGGCCCAGTCTAGACCTTGCGGCTCCTTTGGGGGCTGCGAAGTGCGCGTCTTTCATCATGTTCGTTTGTATTGAGCGGTCCTTCATATAGCTGCCCGTGTTGGATAAGGGTTGGGTTCGTCACCAGTTAATCTTTTGAACGGGATGGTGGGCCTGCGCGCAGCAGGCAATATGCCAGCAGCTCCGCCATCCCTGTTAGACGCCATCCAAAGTGAGCGCGAGGATTCCGCGCATGATCTAGATCTTGGTGCAGCGTGCATGTTGTATTGTTTTTTGCAAGGGATGGTCGGGGGTTTTGGCAGTGCACGCAGCAGGCGATATGCTGCCCCCCTCCCCCCGTCCCTGTCAAAGACCAATGCACAGTGATCGCGGGGCGTCCGCGCGTGATCCAGATTTTGGTGCAGCGTGCACTCTGTACTGTTTTTTGCAAGGGATGGTTGGGGGCATATGGCAGTGCACGCAGCAGACAATATGCCACTCCCCCCACCGTCCTCGTCAAAAACCAAGTCGAAGTGATCTGGGGCGTCCGCGCATGCTGCAGATTTGGAGGCAGATCGTATTGTGCTTGGTTTTTTTGACAGGGATTGTGTGGGGGGTGCCCTTATGGGTGCCCTCATGGGTCCGGGTTGGCTGCCCGTCGGGTGGGGGAGGGGGTGATTATCAATGGGGAGCGGTGATTCAAAGGGAGCAGTGATCAAGCTACTCCAAGCCGCAATCCGTGTCGCTCACTCCCACCCGCCCTCCCAACACGTAGGCAGCATCCGAGCCTGGGCCCCGATCCTACCGAGTTCATGAGTCCCGTCGGAAGCGCAGTGCCGAGCATTCCTTGACAGAGTGCGGAACCAGCTTGATTTCGGCGGCATCCCAACCTACTAATACTACGTGTGCGTCGCCTCCCCAGGGGGCGACACGCGCACCGAGAAATCTCATAGTATATGCGTCGTGGCTGGCGCTTTCTGGTCGTACCACTCGGGAAACGATATATTACACGATGGTTATACTATATGTTCGGGTCGGACGCACGCCTCCGAGGAGGACACATCCTACTGGTATGTCCTTGTGCGTCCCAGTATTGTTCTTTATATTTTCGGGCTTACCTTTTAGGTTGTTGTTTCCGGGGCTCCGAGAATGGAGGCTTCAGTTTGTTTGGCGAAAGAGTGTGGGCACCGCCGCCGTCCATGTCAAAAACCAATGCAAAGTGATCATGGGGCGCCCACGCACGGTTCAGATTTTGCCGTACATTGTATTTCGCACTGTGTTTTGGCAGGGATGGTAGGCCTGCGCAGAGCGGACACTAAAAGGGCACCCCGCCGTCCCTGTCAGAAACCAATGCAAGATGATCGCGGGGCGTCCGCCCACCGTCCAGATTTTGCCGCAGTGTGCCCTTTGTTTTGTTTTTGGTGATAGGGATGGTGCCCGCATTGTCCCGGGTTTGTCGCCAGTCCGGTGGGGGAGGGGGTGTACATTAAGATGGGGCAGTGATGTAGTTTCTGGCGGGAACACCGGAAGCTGTTTCGCTCACGCCCGCCCGCCCTCCCACTACAGAAGTGTATTCGATTCTCAGCATGGGCAGGGGCCGCCATCGAAACCATCGGGAACCAATGCAGACGCCAGCCAGGTGCGTGAAGCCCGCAAGAGTCGCCGCACATGCCATCCGCGCGCGCACGCACCAGGCGCGCCACATTGGGCAGTATGTCGAACCTGCCACCATCTCTGTCTAAAGCCAGTGCAAAATGACGGCGGGTGTGCGAGAATTGTGAACTGTGTGCGGGTGAGCACCCGCAATCTTTTTGGTCCCCGCACGCAGCAGTCAGCATGCCGTCCCCCATCCCCCGCCGCCCCTGCGAAGTAGTCGCGGGGCGTCCGCGCACGATCCAGATTTTGGTTCAGAGTGCGTTTTGTATTGTTTTTTGCAAGGCATTGCCGGGGGGTTTGGCATTGCGCGCAGCAGGCAATATGCCGCCCCCCCCGCCGCCCCTGTCAAAAACTGATGCAAAGTGACCATGTGGCGTCCGCGCATGATCCAGAGCTTGGTGTAAAAAACACTTTTTTAGTTGTTGCAAGGTATGCTGGGGGTGTTGGCATTGCACACAACAGGCAGTATGCTGGTCCCCCCGCCGTTCCCGTCAACAACCAATGCAAAGTGCTCGCGTAGCATCCGCGCATGATCCAGATTCTGGTGCAGAGTGTATTTCGCATTGTTTTTTGCAGGGGATGAGTGGTAGACTCTTCTTCGAAGCGGAAGACGATGGTTGGAAGAAGAAACGCTTTAAACCACCTACGCCCTAACGGGCTGGTGGGGTCGAAGTGGCTGGGTGATCGGCAATCAGTGCACCTATAATGTTGCACAGTCTGGGCCCGCGCAATTTCATGGGGCACTCCAGCTGGCGATGTTGGTGATGATGATGCTGATGCTGATGCTGATGATGATGATGCTGATGATGATGATTCTAATCATGATGATGATGCTGCTGATGATGTTGATGATGATGCTGCTGCTGATGATGATGGTGATGCTGATGATGCTGATGATGCTGCTGCTGATGGTGATGATGCTGGTGATGGTGATGATGATGAGGAGAAGGAGGATAAACAATCTAAGAGGATGATGACGATGATGATGGTGATCGTGGTGTTGCTGAGGATGGAGATGGTGGTTAACCTGATGAAGACATTGGGCAGGGTGAGGATCATATCGGGTCTATTCCAGACCAAGGGCTCGACCAGTACAGCGTTTATCGTTTTCGTATTGGTTTAGATTTCCCTCGTTTTGTCTTCGTTCCGCCTTCGCTGCCAAACGAAGTCACAACGAATCTGGTCCACGAAATCGCCAAACCACCGTGTAGGTCGAGCCCTGCCCAGACCCCCCCCTGCGGTCGAGGAGTACTACGGCTTCGATATGCCCTCGATTGGCGAGTACAGCAAGCCTGCGGATGACGAGGAAACCGCCGCTGCTGGCTCCCGTCGTCGTTTGCCGCCGCCGCCGCCGCCGCCGTCGTCGTCGTCGTCGTCGCCGCCGCCAACGCCGCCGCCGCCGCCGCCGCCGTCGTTGTCGTCGTCGTCGTCGTCGTCGTCGTCGTCGTCGTCGTCTTCAATGTCGACGTCGACTTCGTCGTCGGCGGCGTCGTCGTCGTCCTCCTTCTCCCACATCTCGCCAGCTTCTCGAATGTATCGAGGACGCCTACGGCGAATCACCGCCGCCCCCTGCCCTTGTGGAAGCGCCTATGTGGCTGACAGCTGGGCTATTGCCTGGCCAAGCTAGCGGGCCAGTTGTTCCCCGAGTCGGTTTGGATAGCCTTCGGGGACCGCGTGCGGGAGCAAGAGGTTTGAAAGCGCTCGTGTGTCCGAGCGCTGTGGCAAGAGCTCTGCCAAGCTGTCGGACCATGTGTTCCCCCAACCGTTGTGGAAACCCTTCGGGGAACACTTCTGCGAAGATGGCGGGGAAGATCAGGAGGAGGAGGAGGAGAAGGAAAAAGGAGGAGAAGGAGGCGGAACAGAAGGAGGAGGAGGAGATGAGGAGGAGCCTTGGGCGTCTTGGAGGCCTCTTGGGCCGTCTTGGGGGCATCTTAGGGCCGTCTTGGGCCTCTTCGGCGATCTTTGGGGGCACTTGGTCCGTCTCGGGCCGTCGGAAGGCAGAACAAACACGCAAATGCCACAATCCTTCAACCACTCATGGGACATCAATGATTTTGGCCTTTTCGGGCCTTCCTGGAGACCCTCTTGGAGGTCTCTTGGGCCGTCTTGGGCCATCTTAGGGCTATCTTCGGCCGTCTTGGTGGGCTCCTGGCCCGTCTGACGCTGTCAGAAGACGTTTGGGGGGCCTCTCCGGGCCGACTTGGGGCCCTCTGGCCGTCTTGGAGGCCATCTTGGGCGTCTTAAAAGCCTCCTGGGTCGTCTTGGGGGCCTCTTGGTGCCGTCTTGGGTACCTCTTGGGCAGTCCTGAGTCCAACTTGGAGGCCTCTTGGGCGATCCTTGGGCGATCTTTGGGGGCTCTTGGGCCGTCTCGGGCCGTCGGAAGGCAGAAAAAACGCAAATGTCCAAATCCTTTTAAAACCTCAGGACCATTAGTTTTTTTTGTGCCTTTTCGGGCCTTCTTGGAGGGCTCTTGGGCCGTCTTGGGCCAGATTCGAGCCAACTTCGGCCATCTTGGTGGACTCCTGGCCCGTCTGACGCCGTCGGAAGCCGTTTGGGGGGCCTCTCTGGGCCGACTTGGGGCCCTTTTGGGGTGGTCCAGGGCCATCTTAGAGGCCATCTTGGGCGTCTTGGAAGCCTCCTGGGTCGTCTTTGTGCCCTCTTGGTGCCGTCTTGGGGCCCTCTTGGGCAGTCCTGAGGCCAACTTGGAGGCCTCTTGGGCGCTCTGGGTCGCGATCTTGGGGGCCTCTTGGGCCGTCTTGTGTCATCGGAAAGCCGAAAAGGAGCAAATACGAACAACCTTTAAAAACCTAAGAACAAACAATGTTTTTAGCCTCTTCGGGCCCTCCTGGAGCCTCTCGGAGGCCTCTTGGGCCGTCTGGGTGGCCTCTTGGGCACCTCTTGGGCCATCTTGGGTCGTCTTGGAGGTTTCTTGGGCGGACTTGGAGGCATCTCCTCCTCTCTTGGGCTGACTTGGAGGCCATCTTGGAGGCATCTTGGAGGCCATCTTGGGCCAACGTGGCCATCTTGGAGGCCATCTTGAGCCGTTGGGGATTTGGGCTCTGGGCAGTGGCCGGCGGGACGGGCCGAAGCCCCAGGGGGAGCTGTTGTGGCAAAAGAACCAAAACCCAAACCGAGAGGATCCAGCAGGCCAGGCACCCCTGTGATGAATCAACAGGGGGCAGCTTCTCGAGTGTATATCGAAGACGCCTACGGCGAATCACCGCCGCCCCCTGCCTTTTTGGAAACGCCGATGTGGCCGAAAGTTGGACTAGAGCTTGGCCAAGCTATCGGACCATGAGTTCCCCGAGTCGGTTTGGAAAGCTTTCGGGGAACACATGGGAGAGAATGATTGTGAACAGGAAGAGGAAGAGGAAGAAATAGAGTAGGAGGATGAGGGTTGTTAGGAGTCTCTTGGGGCACCCTTGGGGTCTGTTGGGAGCTTCTTGGGGGCCTCTTCGAGGCCTCTTGGAGGCATCTTGGGGGCCTCCTTGGGCCTCTTGGGGGCCTTTGGGGGCTTCCTGGGGGTCTCTTTGGCCGTCTTAGGGCGTTCCTGGTCCGTCTGACGCCGTCTGGAGCCGTCTTGGGGGCCTCTCTGGGCCGTCTTGGGGCCCTCTTGGGGCGCTTCAGGGCCGTCTTGGAGGCCATGTTGGGCGTCTTGGAGGCCTCTTGGGCCGTCTTGGGGCGCTCTTGGGGCCGTCTTGGGGGGCCCTTGGGCCGTCATAGGGCCTTCTTGGAGGCCTCTTGGGCGATCTTGGGGGCCTCTTGGGCCGTCGGAAGGCCGAAAAGAGAAAACGCAAAAAACCTTCAAAAACCTAAGGAAAACCAATGATTTTGGCCTCTTCGGGCTCTCCTGGAGAACGTCTTGGAGGCCTCTTGGGCCATCTTGGAGGCATCTTGGGGCCATCTTGGCCGTCTTGGAGGGCATCTTGGGCCGTCTTGGAGGCATCTTGGAGCCATCTTACCCGTCTTGGAGGCCATCTTGGCCGTCTTGGAAGCATCTTGGAGGCCATCTTGGGCCATCTTGGCCGTCTTGGAGGCCATCTTGGGCCAAGTTGGGGCAACAAAGGCATTGACAGACGGATTTTCGGAAATTACGGGTGGCCGGCGGGACGGGCCGAAGCCCACTGGGGAGTTCTTTTAGAAAAAGAACCAAAACCAAAACTGAATCATGAAACATCGCCGTGCACCCCTGCAAGCAGGGGGCGGCGGATCGAAGACGCCTACGGCGAATCACCGCCGCCCCCTGCCTTTTTGGAAACGCCGATGTGGCCGAAAGTTGGACTAGAGCTTGGCCAAGCTATCGGACCATGAGTTCCCCGAGTCGGTTTGGAAAGCTTTCGGGGAACACATGGGAGAGAATGATTATGAACAGGAAGAGGAAGAGGAAGAAATAGAGTAGGAGGATGAGGGTTGTTAGGAGTCTCTTGGGGCACCCTTGGGGTCTGTTGGGGGCTTCTTGGGGGCCTCTTCGAGGCCTCTTGGAGGCATCTTGGGGGCCTCCTTGGGCCTCTTGGGGGCCTTTGGGGGCTTCCTGGGGGTCTCTTTGGCCGTCTTAGGGCGTTCCTGGTCCGTCTGACGCCGTCTGGAGCCGTCTTGGGGGCCTCTCTGGGCCGTCTTGGGGCCCTCTTGGGGCGCTTCAGGGCCGTCTTGGAGGCCATGTTGGGCGTCTTGGAGGCCTCTTGGGCCGTCTTGGGGCGCTCTTGGGGCCGTCTTGGGGGGCCCTTGGGCCGTCATAGGGCCTTCTTGGAGGCCTCTTGGGCGATCTTGGGGGCCTCTTGGGCCGGGAAGGCCTCTTGGGCCGTCGGAAGGCCGAAAAGAAGAAAACGCAAAAAACCTTCAAAAACCTAAGGAAAACCAATGATTTTGGCCTCTTCGGGCTCTCCTGGAGAACGTCTTGGAGGCCTCTTGGGCCATCTTGGAGGCATCTTGGGGCCATCTTGGCCGTCTTGGAGGGCATCTTGGGCCGTCTTGGAGGCATCTTGGAGCCATCTTACCCGTCTTGGAGGCCATCTTGGCCGTCTTGGAAGCATCTTGGAGGCCATCTTGGGCCATCTTGGCCGTCTTGGAGGCCATCTTGGGCCAAGTTGGGGCAACAAAGGCATTGACAGACGGATTTTCGGAAATTTACGGGTGGCCGGCGGGACGGGCCGAAGCCCACTGGGGAGTTCTTTTAGAAAAAGAACCAAAACCAAAACCTGAAACATCCAGCACGCCGTGCACCCCTGTGGCAAGACCACAGGGGGCGGCGGATCGAAGACGCCTACGGCGAATCACCGCCGCCCCCTGCCTTTTTTGGAAACGCCGATGTGGCCGAAAGTTGGACTAGAGCTTGGCCAAGCTATCGGACCATGAGTTCCCCGAGTCGGTTTGGAAAGCTTTCGGGGAACACATGGGAGAGAATGATTATGAACAGGAAGAGGAAGAGGAAGAAATAGAGTAGGAGGATGAGGGTTGTTAGGAGTCTCTTGGGGCACCCTTGGGGTCTGTTGGGGGCTTCTTGGGGGCCTCTTCGAGGCCTCTTGGAGGCATCTTGGGGGCCTCCTTGGGCCTCTTGGGGGCCTTTGGGGGCTTCCTGGGGGTCTCTTTGGCCGTCTTAGGGCGTTCCTGGTCCGTCTGACGCCGTCTGGAGCCGTCTTGGGGGCCTCTCTGGGCCGTCTTGGGGCCCTCTTGGGGCGCTTCAGGGCCGTCTTGGAGGCCATGTTGGGCGTCTTGGAGGCCTCTTGGGCCGTCTTGGGGCGCTCTTGGGGCCGTCTTGGGGGGCCCTTGGGCCGTCATAGGGCCTTCTTGGAGGCCTCTTGGGCGATCTTGGGGGCCTCTTGGGCCGTCGGAAGGCCGAAAAGAAGAAAACGCAAAAAACCTTCAAAAACCTAAGGAAAACCAATGATTTTGGCCTCTTCGGGCTCTCCTGGAGAACGTCTTGGAGGCCTCTTGGGCCATCTTGGAGGCATCTTGGGGCCATCTTGGCCGTCTTGGAGGGCATCTTGGGCCGTCTTGGAGGCATCTTGGAGCCATCTTACCCGTCTTGGAGGCCATCTTGGCCGTCTGGGAGGCATCTTGGAGGCCATCTTGGGCCATCTTGGCCGTCTTGGAGGCCATCTTGGGCCAAGTTGGGGCAACAAAGGCATTGACAGGCGGATTTTGGGAAAATTACGGGTGGCCGGCGGGACGGGCCGAAGCCCACTGGGGAGTTCTTTTAGAAAAAGAACCAAAACCAAAACCTGAAACGTCCAGCACGCCGTGCACCCCTGCAAGCAGGGGGCGGCGGATCGAAGACGCCTACGGCGAATCACCGCCGCCCCCTGCCCT